TTTTAATTCAGCCTCCAAAGTGGCTGAGCGTGTTGATGGGCCATGTCTGAAGGTAGGGTTCATGGGGAATCACAAGCCATATCTTGTCTTTCTCACGCAGAGGTCAGCAGTGAAAATGAAGTGGCAGAAGATAACATGGACAGCAGTGTGGTAGATGTGCTGCACCAGAAGTATCTCAACTCCAGCCTGTACCAGAGCACAAAGGAAGCACTGGCAAAAGTGGAGCTTGGACGGGGAAGCAAGCAGAGAATATCCAAGCAGGGACATGAGATTACCTATGCAAATGGATTCCTCACCCAGCTGTACTGGGTGTCCAAGCGTTCCCTGAAAAACCTCATCAGGAACCCACAGGCCTCCATTGCACAAGTAGGTAACAACTGCTAAAAGTCTCAGACTCCTTCTGCTCTCAGTCCCGCGAGCTGCAGTTTGCAGGACAGACTTCTGTTTTCAAAGGCAGCTAGGGAAACAGCAAAGTCCTGTGCCACTGCCACGTAAGTGGAGTGAGATGCCCAGCTACTTTTGTTGCCTTTGAAAAAAATCTCCGTATTAGTTTAGCACAAGGACTTCTGCACTGAAGGTTGGGGAGGGGGGGAAATGCTCCATTCTCTGGTTCACATGGGGTGCTTCTAGGGTGATGTTAATTTGTGCCTCACTTGAAATTTTAAGCTGGGTTATTCTCTGAGTGTGCTAACCTTTCCCAGCCAAAGATCAGAAGAAGGAGAAAAATGAAGAGGATAAACTCGGAAAATTTGCCGTAAGGCTTTTAATTGTGTGTGTCATAGGTATACATTGACTCAGAACAGCAAAGCTGTAGGCAGATGTGAATCTTAAACCCTGCATATGCCTTAACAATAACTTTTTCCCTATTTACTTATCTGAAGGACTCCCTTCTCCCTTTCTTCTTTCCAATTCTAGATTGCAGTGACCATAATTCTAGCCTTGGTTGTGGGGGCTATCTTTTTCGGTGTAAAAATGGATCGAAGTGGCATTCAGAACCGGTAAGTTGGAAAGCCAGAGCTTTGCTCATTTTTCTGTCTGTAGCAGACAGGTTTCAGCCACAGGGAAGCCCTTGGGATCCCCTTGGTCCACAAAGGAGGGCTGGGCTCAGAAGCCTCAATGCACTGCAGCATGGTGTTGCCTGAGGTCCTAAAGGGACCGCAGTTCTGTCGGGCTCACACACATGTACAAAGGAGATGTGAAAGGGAAGATAAAGGAATAAACCTGGGTTTACAGCTCAGATCTACAGTAGCACAATTAAATGTCTCCATTCTGTGAACAGAGGCAGAAAAGCACTCTTGATGGCATGATGATGTCTGAGGCTGTCAGTGTAGGTCTAGGCTGTTTCCTCACTTTTTGACTGTTCTGTTTTGCCTTCTAGGGTTGGATCCTTGTTTTTTGTCACCACAAACCAGTGTTTTTCCAGTGTGTCTGCAATTGAGCTGTTCATCAGAGACAAGAAACTATTCGTGTAAGTCGTGACTGTCTCATACCCTGGAGTGAGGCGGGGGGAGTATTTTACAGGCTAAACAGAATTATTTCCACCAAAGACTTGATTGCTCCTTTGCAACATCAGATTGTGATAGTAATGCTAAATTCATCTGCAGAGCAGGGAGCTGAAATGCTAAGAAGTGGGGGGAGGAGGAAGGAAATAAAACGCTTTTCTTGCTGTGTCACAGTTTATTGAGAAGTGCTTTTCCTACCCTCTTTTGGTAACAGCTGGTTTTGAAGCCTGCATGTGAATCCTGCAGGCTATGAACCCTGCCTGCTCTCTTGCTGACAGGGTGCCATGGGTGGAGTGAGAGGGAGGCAAAAAACCTGTGTGTTGATATAAACCAGTGAGTTAACAAAATTCAATGGTAAATGCAACAATAGTTGCTAAGATTTGACGGCAAGGTACACTTGGTTATTTACTGCATAGAGGACAGGGTCAGACAAAACCGTCAGGGAGGGAGACCCTCGTCTTGAGTCATGAGGTTCAGAAAAGGTCCCCTTGCTTTCTAAACTCCTTCCTCAGAGAGGAGTTTAGGTGCGGCTGGATCCAATCCTAGTTCTAGACTTGGTCAATGGTTTATGTCTAAAGGATTATATATGTGCAATCAATCCTTTATATCACTTAGCTGAGGTTTCAAAGTTTAGCATGCTGTTAGCCACTTACTGAGAATCTGTTGTGGTAAGGAATCTCTCAGCCTCAAGGAGTAACCTTGAGAGGTGTCCCTACCCAAGGGGAGGTCCTGGTGTGCAGCCCGCTGCCATGCGGGAGAGCTCCAAGGGCTCTTGGGCTGCTCACTATTGAGGGGGGTAAGAGGATTGGCTCACAGTCATATTTGCACTCTGACCACAGATTTTAGTTTCTTCACTGTGCTTAGGTGGGCATATTGCACAGTAGCCCCTGGCTATTGCATTGTTATCTGTCTCCCCCGAATCCACTTTGAGCTGCATGCATCCATCATGACCAGACACATCTATCACGACCGCGACAGGTGGATATCGCTTGAGCAGGGTTATGGGGAGAGCTCAGGTGTGTGTGGGGGAGCACACTGCCACACAGGGTTGAAATGTTGTCTTGCAATGGCCCTAAAGTGTAACGCTGTGCAAAGATGAAGGGAGAGTTCTAGGAAAAGCTTTGCAAGGGATGCTCAGATAAAAAAGGCTGCTGGCTGGCTGGCTTAAAAGAGCTCCCTAATAATCAAGCGCATCTCTCTGTCTCTCTATATATATCTGTATGTGTTTGTATGTGTGTATATGTATGTAAATGCATGTATATATTATATACACACATGTGTATATACGTATATTTTGAAAATGTAGTGTGGAATATCCTCCAGTTCATGGGATGAAAGGGCAAGAGATAGATCCTATGTAGTAAAAAAGAAATTGGAGATTTGTGCACATGTCCACCCACAGGTTGCTCAGGGCAGCTTAATATTGCCCCTAACAGCTGCTTGGGAGTGAATCTCCCCCACACTGACATTTCTTGCCAGTCTGCTCTGCTTACCCAGCTTAGCCTACCAGCTGTGTCAATGGGGATTTTGGCACCTCACCAATTAAAGCATCTTTTCATGAGCTCCATTAAACTGCAAAACAATCATAATGACATTTAATTGCCCTGTGAACTGGAGGTGAGCCGATGTCCTAAAGGTGTTTTCCCATTGTTGGGTATCATTCCTTCTCCTTTGGAAGCAGCTGTATGAGTTAGCTGTGGATGAAGTGTTCCTCCAGTTAATAGCAGTCTAATACTTTCCCATGCTCTTGTGTTAAGGATCATTCTCTTTGAAAAGAGATTTAGAAGTGGTTTTCCTATATGTTACTTAGCAGTCACGTAGCCTTTAATTCACTTTCCTCAGAGGGCTCCCAGTATGACTGCAGGGCCTGTGAGATAGATCAGCCCTTACTTTATAGAGTGGGAAGTGATAGCACAGAGAAAATAAGCAACTTGCATATAGAGAAGGAGTCAGCAGTAGAGAGAACAGAAACCGAATCGGGATAAACCAGACACGCATGCTAAGCCTCCTTCCTAGATTACCTCTAAACCTGTACAACTCCCCTCCTTCCTGTCCTCGCAGCCATCAGTACACCAGTGGATATTACCGTGTGTCTGCCTACTTCCTGGCCTTGATGATAGGAGATCTGCTGCCCATGAGAACTGCTCCAGCCATCATATTCTCATGCATCAGTTACTGGATGATTGGTAAAGAATTGATGCTTTCGTTGAACCCGTCATCTTCCAACGCATTTGATTTCTGACTTAGCCAGAGTTTAATTCCTATATCTATAACATGAAACTAATTGAACCTTCAACTGATTCAAGTCCTTGGCATCATGACTTCAGAGGACTCTGGGGCAGGGGCAGAGACACCAGCAATCTAAGACAGGGATCTGCTTGACCACATCTTTCAGTAATGCTCTTTGGGTCTTTGGAGCATGCACAGTTCCGGCCAACTCCAAACTTGGTCTTTCTTCCTGCTTTCCCTGTCTTGTATAGGAGTCCAAAGGCACCTCTCTGGGATTCATAATGTGGCTGTTTGCTGAACACTTTCCTTTCTGTTTTTTGACAGGATACCAAGCGGTTGCAGGCCGGTTCTTCTTCTTCATGCTGACCCTGGTACTGGTTTCCTACACTGCCACAGCCATGTCTCTGGCTATCAGTGCTGGGATGGACGTGGTGGCTGTGGCCAACCTGCTCATCACTATTTGTTTTGTCCTGATGCTTGTAAGTATATAAGGGGGTGAGTGCTGCTTTGGTGGACATGAGGAAGCAGCTGAGATGGGCTGAGAGGAATTCTGAGGAAGAGAGCAAGTGAGAGCGAAAGGAATTTTGACTACTCATAGATGAGGGATGTGAATTCTTTTTCAAAGAGATAATGTTAGTGATGAAACTGCTTGACTGCGAGGCCTACCAAGTTACCTTAGAGTAAAAAGCACCTTCTGTGAGGTGATTCCTGGTAGCTGTCTGCGTACATATTGTGAGCCCACAGCGCATCCCTTATTCTTTGATTTGCAACTTAACCTACATTTGCAATAAGCTAAGTGAATGAGTATCACTTCAAACACTTGCTGTGGGTGAGAAGTACTGAAGGGCAGCTGACATACATTGAGTTAAGTCACAGTATGTAAGGAATGGCACATGCACACCCTGAAAGGCAGCAGGGTAAGCACAAAAGCACTGGTGATGAAGCACAGCCTGAAGCGTCATGTTTCGTTGTGAAGTTCAACTGTGCTAAGACGTAAGAGAGCAAACCTTGTTCCAGGCAGGAGAGAGCGCAGGTGGAAGATGTAGGTCAGAAGAGAAAGCTGAAACAGCAACAGCCCTTAAGGCTCCCCATGGTTTCCTTCTTGTTTCTCCACTTCCTCAACTCCCAGTCACCCTCCTTTAGCCTGCGGCTAGCTCTACCATAGGACACAGTCTTCCAGAGTAAGAAGATGCTAGCACGCATGCTTCTTGGCTCACATGCGGATGTAGAAAACCTTTCTGACCTCTTTGCAAGCAGTTTGTCTGGAATACCTGGCTGTGCTGTTGGGCCAGCTGGCTGGGACTGCTGCAAGGTTTGAACCTCATGCCTGCAGGCACAGGCATAACAGCAGTGGGAGGTCCATCTGTCCCAGTGCCCCTCCGTTGGGCAACTGCAATACCTATGCAAGAATGGAATTGTTTGCAGTAAACGGAGTTTGACTCATTAGTCTCTTGTGTTCTATTTCAGATCTTTTCAGGCCTCCTAGTAAACCTGCCTTCTGTAATGGGCTGGCTGAACTGGCTCAAGTACTTCAGCATCCCCCGATACGGCCTCACTGTGAGTAGAAAGTAGCATTGGTCCTCTGTGAGTAATGTAGCCACACTACTGCTTCCTGGAGAGGTTTTAAGTATAAATTGAAGTTCTCTTAAAAGTCAGATTTGGTTTCTTTCTTTGCATGAACATGGTAAAAGAAGAACAAACCTGTCAACCCCAAAAAGAAAGCAAAAGTTAATCTCTGTGTGAGAGGTGGAAGTCTCAGAGACTGAACAAATCCTTTGTGCCACAAAATTAGCGCTGCTTGGACAGCAGCAGAGCGAGCTGTCCAGTGAGGCACTAATTCCTAGCCTGAGTAGTTGATCCCTATGGTTTAGAATAAAGTCAAATATTGTACAGCCTCTCCAGAGACTGCTGTTTGGGTGGTCAGCCTGAGGTTAATGACTGTCCAGCTGGTTAAAGGATTTACTGTAATGCCTGAGTGTCTCGGCCTTCATTGTGGCTTCCTCTGGAGTGAAGTGTGTCTTACTGCCTGTTCAGGAATAGTAAGGAGCTGGGGGTGCAGCTGCTGGAAACACAGTGGCTAGACATCACAGGCCACCCACTTGTCACAGGTGGGAGTTGTGCTTCCATCTCCTGTCTTCGTCCTGGCCAAGCCTATTTGGGAGGAATAGTTTCCTAAATTTGAGTAAAAATGAGTGAAGTGACTGCTGGAGCTGGTGCAGGGTGGTGTGGGCAGGACCACATTGACTGGCAGTGGAAGAGAAAGGTAGGATCAAGGACGGGGGAGAGATGTGTGAGACCTCCCCTGTTTATCACTGAGATATTTTATCAATGTTGCTGAACATGGAAGCATCCCCTGAGATTGCAGTTAGCCCAGGATGCCAATGCAAAGGAACCCTTCCCCTCTTGCCTTGGCTGACTGTGCCATCTGCTTCAGTGTGCTGGTGCTGGGGTGTCCACATGCAGCCACCTGGTTTTCTGGGTCAGCGGATTGACCCAGGTGAAAGTAGATGGACAGGAACTTGTAGCTGGCAAGACAGAAACCCATGGCTAAATCGATGAAATGTGACTGAAGCCAAAGACTCAGACACCAAACCATCCTTGTTTGGATGGACTTAGAACTTGGAGCGGTTCCTCAGAAAGGTTGTGATTATGAGCTTCAAAATAAAAATGAACATAAACATATGATTCCAAGAATGGTGATGCGTGTGTTCTAATAATCAAGTTCCTTTGAGGTGTTTCAGTTTTAGCACCCCAAATCACTAACTCTAAAAATCTGATGTCTGCCTCTTTCCTTAGGCCTTTCAAG